GAGGAGGAGGAGGACGAGGAGGAGGAGGAGGAGGGGGAGAGAGGGAGGGAGCGCGTACGACAGACGGCAGCATGCGGGAGCGAACATAGCCTCTCATCCCGAGCCGATGTGCGGACGCTCGCGGGGCCCCCGCCGGGCCGCGCGCGCAAACCCCGCGCGGACAGGAGGCAGCACGGAGAAGCGCTGCCTGAGCAGTGACCTCAGAGGAAGCCAGGACGAAGATAACATCGGGTGAGGATGAATCGAGAATCTCTGAGATGAAGGGGCCCACAAACACACAAATAAATACACACAAATAAAATGATTCCCCATATTTTCTTATATTTTCTGGGTTTTTGTCTTCCCCCACACTTCCCATATTTTCTCATATTTTCTGGGGAATCGACAATTAATTGTGTCTGTGTGTTTTTCCCCTCCTCAAGAGATCCCGCGGCTCTGGAAGACGTCTCTGGCGCCGCGGCCATCATCAGAGCCTCCCGGAACGCTCGGAGAGCGCTCCGGCAGGCTCTCTGCATGGGATTCCTCCTCGTCGTAGCCCGGCCCGAGGGCCCGAACGATCTGCGATGGCTCCAGGGCCCGAAGCCCAGCGGGAGGACCCAGTGTTAGGTCGGGCCTGTCCCCCGACATGCGGATTCTGGACGGAGAATTAGAAATTAGGGGAACGAAGAATGACATAAACATAAAAACTCTGAGGTCCGCGCAGATTTCTCGGATCCGTGCTGGACCCCCCTGGCGGCGCCTCCGGCGCCGCCCCTGGCGCGCTTCGCGCGCCAGGGAGGGGGGGCCAGCTCCGATCCGAGAAATCCGCGCGGACCTCCGAATTGTTATGTTTATGTCATTCTTCGTTCCCCTAGAGATGCCCAACAATACTCAAGTATGATCAAAATTGATTAACGAGTAGTCGTCGCACTGTTCTACGAAGTATGTTTGAAGACGCCTCCTGCAACAAGCCAAGCCCGACTGAGACCCGGTGAGAAACCACCCGTGCGGCGCCTGGCTTTCCGCGTGGAGCTTCTGAGCAGCGCCGCGTCGGCCCCGCCGAGCGCACGCCCCGCATGGAGGAGGAGGAGGAGGAGGAGGAGGAGGAGGAGGAGGAGGAGGAGGCGGACGAGGACGAGGGGGAGGAGGAGGAGGAGGAGGAGGAGGAGGAGGAGAAGGAGGAGGAGAAGGAAGACGGGAAGGGGAGGAGGAGGCGGACGAGGACGAGGGGAGGAGGCGGACGAGGGGGAGGAGGCGGACGAGGACGAGGGGGAGGAGGAGGAGGAGGACGAGGGGAGGAGGGAGGAGGAGGAGGAGGAGGAGGAGGAGGAGGAGGAGGAGGAGGAGGAGGAGCAGGAGGAGGAGGAGGAAAGGTGGAGGAGGAGGAGGAGGAGGAGGAGGAGGAGGAGGAGGAGGAGGGTGCGCGCCCGGCGGCGGAGGGGCGGCGGGCGGGGCTCCGACAGCACGGAGAGCTCGAGGCACTCGCGGTGGGCCTGGGCGTCGCGGCGGCGCCGCGGGCGGCGGGTCGGGCTCCCGCGGCGGGGGGCGGCGAGGCCCTCCTCGCGGGTGGGTGGCGCCAGCTTTTGTTTTCGTGTCGGCCAACATTTCTTCCGTGGGTCGTGCACATCGGGCACGGGCCAAGCCGCGCATCCCCACCAACCCCACCAGCCCGTCCGGAAGCAGAAGTACCGGGTGAGTTGCCCTGATCAGGGAGCTTTGGCTGCCAATCGTGGTTGTCCTGGTTGAGAGGTTGCTTCTCTTTGCCTGGGGTGTGTGTGTGTGGCGTCGTGCGTCCCCAGGGCCGCCTTGGGTGCTCGCCGTGCGTGCGACGCTCCGGGAGCATGCTGGAGGCCTCTTCGGGCCATCGTGAGGCCTCTTGGGGCTCGCTTGAGGCCCCCTTGGAGACTTTGGGGGCCCCAAAAGGACATCCTGCGAACCATCCGTCAAAGGAGGGGCGGTACTTCCATGCCGCCCCCCCGTCGGGATCCGAAACATCACCTGGCAGCGCCGGAGGTGCCGCCAGGGGGGTCCAGCGCAGATCCAATAAATCAGCGCGGAGTTTCGGAAGCTTATACCTACCCTGATATCCGACACTCCAAAAAAATTAAAGCAGGTGTTTGTTGGCTGTTTCTGGCCTCCAGGGGCCCTCGCCCCACCTTCGCGAGCGTCAAAAACTAACTCAGGGGCAAAACTGGCCCTAGCATCAAACAAATTGGAGCAGCTGCGTGTCTGGGTATGGCGTTCCTATTCCTCTTCGAGTTGAAGCGGCGTTGGCTGCGGTACGAAGGTGGCAGGTAGGAGGGGGGAGTCCAGGAAGGAGGCGTTGGCCCGTCGGTCTCGACCCAGGGTGCGCACCCGTCGCTGCGTGTCCCCGAGGTGTCGGCCGCAGGCCCTGGGCTCGACGGCTCGCGAGAATCGGCCCGTGGTTCTCTGAGCAACTTACTTTTCAGTGTGCTGCATGTGCTGGTCTTCACATCAACTAACGAATGCGTCGCCCGATCCCGAATCGATGGTGCGACGTGGCTTCCCGTGGCCTCCTGCGCTAGCATTCGCAATCGCATCAACATTCACAGTCGCACTCGTGTACGTCTTGGCGTGAGCTTCCCACCAAGCCTTTAGGGCGTGACCGGTTCAGGGAGTTTCCTCTTAAAACCCCCTGGCCTCGGCGAGAAGGCAACGATCATTTATCTAACTTAGGTGTTGGGCCTATTCAGGCCTCCTGGGGGGACCCTGTCACTTACTACTCCCTTTTTTGATCGATCTCCTCGAAGATGGCCCCACGATGGCCCCCGAGGCTCCCAAGGGTGCCCCAAGAGGGCCCCAAGAGGAACCCACTGCTCTCAAGATGCCTCCATGAGGCTTCCAAGAGATCACCAAGAGGCCCCCTAGAGGCACCCGAGACGCCCCAAGGCCCCCGAGGCTGCCAAGAAACCTCCCGCCACCGCGCCGCTGGGCACAGAGTGGGCGTGCCCTCAGGTCCTTCACCTAATCCTCTAAGCGTCAGTCCTCACTCGTGTTTCAAAATCTTCTTGGGCTTGGCGCGGTTTGTCGGGGGCGTGCCGCGGATTCTCGCGCGATGTTTTCTGGGCCCAAGAGGGCCCCAAGACGGGCCAAGAGGGATTAAAGAGTCTCTCAAGACGGCCCGAGGATGCCCCGATACGCCCAAATATTGTTCTAAGACGCCCAATATGGCCCCCAAGCGGCCCAAGAAACCTACGAAAGGCCCCGAGAGGCTTCCAAGAGGCCTCCCAAGAGGGCCCCAAAAGGCAAACATCATTGAGTTTCGAATTCTCGCCTATTCAATTTGCCGGCGATCCAAAACGGCCCACGAGGCCTCAAAGATCGCCCCAAGACGGCCCAAAAGGCCTCCAAGAGGGCCCCAACATGGCCCGAGAAGGCCCCAAGACGGCCCGAGAGGCGCCCAAGACGGCCCAAAAGGCCCCAGCGACGGCTCCAAGAGGGGGCCAGGTGGGAGACCCCAGCGGGTATTTCGAGCCCTCGGACCCGAGGGGCCCCTGGGAGGCCCCACCTCTCGAGACCCCCGGAGGCCCCCACGAGGCCATCAACGGGCCGCAAAGCTGCCCCCAATATGCCCACAAGGGCGCCCCGAAGAGACCCCAAGAAACATCCATGATAACTTCGACCCACAATCCAGGCACAGTGGCGGGATGGGCCGAAGGTCATTCGATTAGCAGTCGTGATAGTATTCGCACTTGTGAGATATTTCCAAAACAAAGTGTAAACATATTCGTTCCAGTTTACTGCACCCCCGATCCTTACGTATCCCTAACGCATATCGTGGTACCCATTGTAACTGTGTAAACATATATAGGGCTTTTTGCCGCAAGGATGAAACCCACTCGGGGAGTGCATTTGCTACCCTCCCTCCAGTGCTTCTACGATTACTACCATGGGCATGCGCTCAGAGAGGGTCAAGATCGCCAAGCGCAGAGGCTCGCGAAGGGAAAAAGTGGTTACTAATTGGCTGGAGTGGATCAAGTAACGCCGACTGGGGAAACCCGAGGGGGTGATTAAACGGGACGCCCAGATCAAAGATGACCCTGCTGACTACCACTGCGACCAAGGGTGAAGACGACTGCTGCAAAATTCCGTCACGCGTGGGAGCCAGCGAGTAAGGACACCAGGCTCCACCGGCTAAGGAAACTGAAATCAAACAACCAGAATTGGCAACACCTCGCAAAGCGAACAGACCGCCGTTGCATCGTGGGTGCGGACAAAAAATGAATCCCATGAACATGCTCAGGCAAATGCCGACACATGAACACCTGCGAAAGCCGCGACGTATAGTGATTCAAACCAGTCAGGCTAACCCCATTATGCCTCGAGCTCGCATGAGAAATCTCAATGCGTTAGGCGCAAATGGATGCAGATGCGCCCTTTTTCTTCGATGGGGCACCGTTACCAACTCACAAGAGCGGGCGCATCTCGGGGAACAAATACTGGCATGAACAACCAACTTTAGAGGTCCGCGCGGAGTTCTTTCTTTTTTCTCCGGTTTGCGGTCTCGCGAAATCAAGCCCTCATGGGGCAGCGAGCAGGCTCCACTGAGCCAGGAAAACGCCCTTCAAGCGCAAGCGACCTTCTTGAGGAACATGTCTATACAAAACAAATGAGACCACATGCAAGCGACCTGCTTCGAGGCAACTGCACTGTCGATCGGAGCTACGAGCGACCTACTTTGAGGCGCCAAGTAAAAAGTCATAATGATTGAAACTACCTTGATGAATGACTAAATTGTGAATGACTCAGCGCTGACCGTCCCAATGTCTCAATAAGCGCAAAATTGCATGAATTGAATTGAGAGGCCTAGAATATCTCAGTCCTCCATCTCAATGATCCTTCTGAGACTGCCAAGAGGGCGCCACATAAGAAAGGGCACGCACAACAAGGTGATTCGCGAAGACACACGAGAATCACAGTAGAAACTGTCAGCATAGACCTCATGCAATGAATTGAAAATGATCAATGACTCAATGTTGACCGTCCCAATGTCTCAATGATCACAACATGCATGAATTGATCAATGTCTCCATAAGCACAGAATCGCATGCATTGACTCGAAACGCCTGAAATACCTCAACGATTGATCTCAATGGTCTCTCCGAAACTGCCAAGAGGGCGCCACGCAAGAAGGGGCTCGCGCAGCAAGGTGATTCGCGAAGACACACGAGAATCACAATAAAAACTGTCAGCAAAGACCTCGCGCAGTGAATAATCAATGGCCCAATGTTGAACGTGTCAATATCTCATTAATCACAACATGCATGAATTGAGCAGAGTGCAGACTCACGATGTGCACGGTCAGCAGAGTGCACAGTGTGCACAAATTAAGCGGAGTCCAAGCGTGATAGAACATCACAGACCATGATTCAAACTGACACCGTATCACAGGCGACCGCGGATCCAGGCCAAACGCCTCCTCCGCGATCGGAAGAAACTTGAACTGAACTTGAATTGAATGTCTCATTGCATTGAGCTTGACTTGAAGTTGGCACCGGCGTCTCATTGTATTGAACTCAAGTTGAGTGTCTCACTGCCTTCAACGAAACCTTAACTTATCATTGTCACAATGTCGAATGTTTACCTGGGTAATCACAAACTGGCAAAAAATGAGCAGAGCACAACACATGGCCAGAGTGCAACCGTGTACAATATGAAGACTTCAACGAACAGCCTGCAATACCACACGACACGTGAGCCTCCGATATTCGTATCGTATGTCAAGACCAACTCAATGCACGACTGCAGAATGCAAATGTACAGCATGGGAAGAACAAAAGAGCGAGAGTACGGGATGGGCAGTTAACGTAAGAAGAACCTCATGATGTCGGCACAATGCCGCTCGAGACGAAGGCCCGACGGGAGCCCCCAGTCTGAAAATCCCGAGGAGGGAGGAGACCAGGTTACCGCCGGGACCCTCGTAGAGCTCGTGAGCCAAAATGGTTGCGGAAAGAGGTCCGCGCGGAGTTCTTGGATCGGCGCTGGACCCCTCTCACCCTGGCGCGTGGAGCACGCCAGGCGCGGCGCTGGAAAGCCGCAAAGGGGCTCCAGTGCCGATCAGAGAAATCTGCGCAGACCTCCGAACGCTTATGTTTATGTCATTCTGTCCCCCGAGCATCACCCAGGAACGAGCGGCCTACACGCGCCTGGCTGACAGCGCGTCCACCACGTCGGAGGCACTCGCCCTGCGGAGGGGCTCGGGCCTCAGCAACGCCTCCAAGCACACCAACGCCGTGCCGTGGTGCACGCCGCCCATGCTCGCCATCGCCTGGGCACGGGAGCCGGCATGGGCGAAGAACTCGAGTATCTCCCGCATGGCCTGCGCGAGGCTTGCGCAACGGCGCCATGGCACCGAGAGCTCGAGCGAGCCTTGCCCGCAAGCGGTCTCCAGGAGCACCACCCCTAGGCTCCGACAATCTGTTGGCTTGGGCCAATACGGCACCCCCAGCGCTGCCTCCGGAGCGACGCACGGGAGAGAACCACACATGGTCTCCCGCGTGCTGGAGTCTGGAACGTGGGCTGCCATGCTGAAATCCACCAAGCGGCAAACGAACCGGTTCCTCGCAATCTCTACCGACACGTGCTTCAGCGACACCTGCCCGTGAGTAACATCATTGACGCGGCATCGTCCCTGGACAAATGACGGCCTGGTTGAGTCGACAACACCTGCTCCATGAGGAAACCACCGCCATACTGGAGCACCAGGTGCGCATGGGACTGGCCGTGCAGCATGCTTACGCAGCGGATGATGTGTGGGTGGTCGAGGGTGTGCGTCAGCAGGTTGAACTCCTGGTAAATGCTTTCCACCTCCTCGGCAGCGGTGACGCTGCGCTTGTTGCGCATCTTGACCACAAGGTTCTCGTGCTGCCCGTTAACCGCCAACATAATGTGCGGATGATTTGCGTACTGCTGAATCAACAGGAAGTCCCCGACAGTGCCCCAATTCCAGTAAGCGCTTGTCTAGAGCAGGAAAAACGGACATTAACAACTCTGGGATAATATCCCAGAGAAGCCTGTCGTGTTCGCCCTCCATGGTCTAGATCTCGCTAGAAGAAAACACTCCCGCTCGAATGGTACTCTCGTAGACTTGTACGCGAAGCTGGATCGCGGTGTTCTCCGCAAGCTCCAGGCGTATCTTCTGCTGCAAGCCCTCTGGGCCACCCTCCAGCTCCATCAGTACGCCGCTCGCCCCAAAGCTGTAGAGCGAACCCTGCCGCGCCATCAAGGTACGGAGGTAGCCCTTGGTCAGCTCGGCACCCATCCGATCTGGCAGCTGCACCCAGAAAACGAACGCGTCAGGGTGTGCGGCCGTCAGAGCGTCCAAAAGGCGCGTCAAGCCCCTCTTCTCCTCACTTGTCTTGTACACGGACGGGATAACCACGGCCTCGTGCTGCTCCACCATCTGGGTGATGCTGCCCTGGCTCATCTCTCCATGGCCTGCCTCCGGGGCCAGCACGTTGGCTGGCTCGTTCTGCGAGCTCCATGGCATCAGTGTCAGAAAACCAATGAACGACACACTGGGCACGACGCTTGAGACGTAGGCCTCCACGACCGCTTGGATCGCCAAGGGTGCCACAGACAACCAGTGCGACTGGCCTGCAGCCAAAGTGCTGGATGAATGGGCACCCTGTGAATGGAGCCGCAACGTGCGGCTACGGAGGGAGGTGGAAAAGTCCGGTGATTGGCCTGGCCGTACCCTAGGCCCCCCCCCCGCGATGTGCGACGACCGATTACGCATCTTCGCGCCATCGCGCCCCCGCCCCGAAGAAGGGCAGCCGCCCCCCTGGCCTAGACCACCTCGCGCGAAGCGCGATTACCTTCGCGCCCCCGCAGGTAACCTATGTGCAAGTCTCGTCTCAATGCGCATCCGCCGACCCTGTCGGGGTGTGGAAGACGCTCTAGTCGTCGTCGTCGTCGTCGTCGTCGCCGTCCGAAGGAAATTGAAAAACGTCGTAGTTCACTCGAAAGGAATCCCATTCCCTTTGATCGCCAAGGGAGGGGGGGTCGCCGGGAAAGGGTGGGGTGCGGGGGGAGGGGGGGAGGGCAAGGGGGGCCCAGCTCAGATTACGCCGTGCCCCCTGGAGGTCCCAGGGGGCGGTCCCCCCTGTGGACAGGGGGGAAAGCAAACCTCGGGAAGAACTCCTCCTCCTCCTCCTCCTCCTCCTCCTCCTGCAAAAGGGCACAGTATCCGGGAAAAGGGCTCTTTCTGCAGGTGTTCTACAACAGATCGATGGCACACCTCTTCGCAGCACTCAAAAGGACGCCAGCCACACCAAACACCAAACCCCCAGACCAAACACCAGCACCCCAAACCTCAAACTCCAAACCCCGAACACACAAACCCAAAACCAACAGCCCAGAAGACCCCAAGCACCAAGCGCCGAACTCGAAACACCAAACCTTCAACGCCGCACACAGACACCAAACACCAGCGCCACACGAGACCAAACCCGAAACACCAAACACCAAACCCCGCACCCCAAACACCAACAACCCAACGCCCAAAACACAGCACCCTCAATACCAGACACCAAAAACAACCAAAGACAAAACTCGAACTACCAGCCACCAACCTCTCAAGCACCAAACCCAAAGCCCAAAACATCACCCCCCCCAACCCCGTACTCAAACCACCAATCACAAAACACCAACACACCAAATCCCAAACGCCAAATTCCAAACCTGAAATATCAAACCACAAACACTAACAACGATCTCAGATACAAGTTATGATGATGACGATGACGATGACGATGACGATGACGATGACGATGATGATGATGATGATGATGATGATGATGATGATGATGATGATGATGATGATGATGATTATTCGTAATCCTGGCCGCGATGCTCTCTCGCGAACCGAAAGCGTCCAATTCGCTAATCGACGTGTCAGGGTAGGAGGTCTGTCCACCCTAAGAAATTCATAATAAGGAACGCTGGGGCTACTCTGGCCAAAGCGGGCCAGAGCCACAACAGGAACTGCCTGGAAATCCGAACCACTCCCGAGCCCGAAGGGGTGTTTATTTCAGCGCCCTGACCGTCATGCAACGAGTCCGTTGATTTGTTTGATTTTTATTGTCTTCGGTGTTCGTCGTGTTCGGTCTCCGGGGGCCCTTCCTGGGCCCTGGGGCCTTCACAAACGTACCCGGAAAGCAAAACTCCTCCCAGGAAAGTTTTTCGCCACGGCCTGCAAAAGTTGCCTTACTTGCCCATGGGGGTGTAGTAGATGGTGTCTGCTCCGCATCGCCAATGCATCGGCGATGCACCAGCGGCGTCGGGATGGAGAAGATCGGGATCCAGGTCGAGCCTGATCGGCGATGCACCGAACATGCGGCGCAACCGTCCGACCACATCTGCTTCGAGCCCCTTTGGCAAGTCTGAAACGACTGTCTCGGGGATGCCTGGAAAATAACGGCCACGGCGCCCTCTCGAGAACCGAGAACGGACAATTCACCAATCGACGTGTCACTGTTTGGGGTTATGTCCACCCCCGACTGTCCTACGGAAAGATGCCCCAACCCTCCGAGGCAGAAACTGTCAAGCTCCTCCTCCTCTGTCCTCCCTCCTCCTCCTCCTCCGTCCTCCCTCCTCCTCCTCCTCCTCCTCCTCCTCCTCCTCCTCGTCCTCCTCCTCGTCCTCCTCCTCCTTCTCCTCCCCCTCATCCCCCTCCTCCTCCTCCATCTCCCCCTCCCTGTCCTCCTCCTCCTCCTCCTCTCTCCTCCTTTTTGGCCCTCCGAAGCAGAAATTGTCAGCACCGCCCAGGACGGGAGATTCCCGAGCCCGAGCTGGCCCCGCGACGAGCTCCGCGGGCTTCCGAGAAAGCCTCTGGGGCCCAAAGGGCCTCTCCAGCGGCCCGGGAGGCCCGAGGGAACCCGATCCGACCCCCTCTGCTCTTGCAGGAGCTCGACCACAAGAAACCCTCCACAGGAGACCCAACCAAGAAAGAGACCCCAGGACGTCCTTCGACTTTCGGCGCGAGACAGGTCACAAAATTCCACGGCAGAACCCTCGAAACACAGGAACCCAGGGTACCCTGGAGACAAGCAGGGTGTTCCTTGGCATGGGCCCCCACTGTACCCCATCTCGGCGGCCTGGAAACACTGACGACGACGAAGACGAGGACGACGACGACGCCGACGACGAGGACGACGACGATCACGACGACGACGACGACGACGAAAACGACGCTATCGGTCACGCTGGCGCTCGCGCTGGCGCCGACCACGCCCACGCCAGCGACGGCGACCCACCGCGGCGGCGCTGGCGGCGCCAACGGCAACTTCGACGGCGACGGCGGCCAGCGGCGGCGACGACGGCGGCGAGAGGGAGGAGGAGGAGGAGGAGGAGGAGGAGGAGGATCAGGGGGAGGAGGCAGAGGGAGGAGGAGGAGGAGGGCGGAGGAAGATCAGGAGGAGGAGGAGGAGGGCACTGCCCCTCGGGAGGAGGGCGGCGCTGCCCCTCGGGGCGGCCTCGTGGAGGGCCTGGCGCACCGCGCAGAGGTCCTCGGTCGGTGCGCGCAGCCGCGGCGGCGGCACCGCCCAGGGGGCGGGGCTCTCTTGGCGGCGCGCACAAGGGGGTGGAGGGAGGGGGAGGGCTTCTCAGAAAGAGGCGGCTTCTTAGAAGGCGCCAGCCTTACATCTATACTCCAGGCCCGCGCCTTCTAAGAAGCAGGGGTGTTCCTAAGAAGCCCTCCCCCTCCCCCCTCCCCACTCTGCGCGTGGCTGGCTCTCTGCGAGGGAGGGGCGGTCCGTGCAGAGGAGGGGCCCATGCCAATTCTGCGCCAGAGTTATGTTGCTCTCATCGTACTTAAGGACCACATCCCAAACATAATTTCGAGCACCGGAAAAGTGCCGAAAGAGTGTCGAAACAGCGTCGGAACAATGCCAGACGAGTGTCTCACAGGGCCCGACACGTGAACACCCTCGAGTGTCAGTACTTTTCTGATGCTCGAAAGTCTTTTGTAGTGATGAAGGCTAAAAGTAGGCTGGAACATCATAATGCCAGAGCTGCTTGCAATTCATATGCGCTGCGCTTGCGTGCATCACCAACCTCCAACTGATCCCGATCCAGAAGGTCGGCAAGCCAAAGGTGATGACAATCTTGGGGATGTGCCCCTGCAAGCTAAGGGATCCCGTAAGCCGGCATCGAGATCAGGCGATGCCAATTATAAAAATACGCATCTGTTCCGAACCGGAAAGCGCGTGGTATCCCCCACACCCTTGCGGCTCGCGCGTTCCCCTTCTCGCCCTATAGGGTATTTTTTGTAAAAAAAGACTATAAACATATTTGATTAATTATACATGATTAATGTATGAATAAATGCATGCATGAACCCATCGTTGCGTTTAGTACTAAATTCTTGCATTTTTGTATACATGATCCGCACGCGGAGCAGGTATTAAAAACGGCACTGTAGCCATCACCCCCCTCTTGGCCGCCTCCGGTCTTCCTGCAGGTCCAGAGAGCAACGGCCCACAGACGTCCCCTTGGAGGGCGCGCACCGACCAGACAGCTCGAGGCGCACCTTCCGCCGTGGCGGACAGGGCGCCCCCTGCGGGCACAGGGAGAGGCGAGCACCTGGCAGCAGTCCCTTGCATTGTGCTGCTCCCATCGTGCCTTTTGTACGCCCGAAATGGGCACGGGAAGAATGGGTACAATGCCCAACCGCAAGTGTTGTCCCAAAACCAACAGCGCCCCATGCGGGCACAGGAGAGGCGAACACCTGGCAGGCCCTTGGATTGTGCTGCTCCCATCGTGCTTTTTGGACGCCCGAAATGGGCACGGAAAGAATGGGCACAATGCCTAACCGCAAGTGTTGCCCCGAACCAACAGCGGCCGCTGTTGGGCAGACGGCCTTCTGTCTCGAATGGGCACGGGCC